CCTGTGCCGGGTCCCGGGGCGACCTGGGCGCGGGCGGCGGCCGCGCCGAGCGGGGAGAAGGCGGCGGGTAGTTACGGGCGCCGGGGCATTCGGCCCAGCCGGAGGGCTCGCGCCGGCCAGAAGCACCCCTCGAGATGTTCGGCGGGAGCCGGGGGGAGCCACCGGCTCCGGGCCGCTGGGAGGAGCAGTCACGGAGGCGACAGCTACCGCCGCGGCCGCCGCGCCCGCCCGGACTGCGGGCTCGGGTTACCGCAGAGCGGCTCCTTAAAGGGGCCGCGGTCGCTCGGGCTCCGGCTCCGATCCGGCTCGGGCTCCGGCTCCGGCTCCGGCTCCGGCTCCCCCTCTGGCTCCGGCTCCAGCTCGGCTCCCGGCTGCTTCGACCCCCGGCCAGAGTGGGCGGGGCCCCGAGGCCGGCTATAGGGCCGACCTTGGGGTGCTGGACTTTAGGTACAGAATTCCGGCTCAGGATCGTAACCACCGAGGTTTCCAGCAGTAAGAAAAGCACACCTCGCTAGGTACAGAGCGTGCGGTTCCCTGGCGAAATGTCTACAGCAAGTAACCAAACTCGAGAGTGGGGAGCATGATCTGCGTCTGCTTCCGCAGCGGTCAGTACCTGGTCTCGCCACGTAACCAAAATTATTTTCTGAGCTTGACATCCTATTCCTGCCTTAAATGCCAGCATTCTGCGTAAACGAAGTGCATGGCTTGATCGTAAGGAGATAAAAGGGCAACTGCTGATTTTTCCTGCCAAGTTTGTCTTGGCCAGAGCCCGGCTTGCTTGGGGCTGCAGGTGTATTTCAAATGAGTAGGGGCTGTGTGTGCAAGAGGCTTGTACTCTAAGCAGACTCCTGAATCCTGGAAAAACACCCGCCAGAATGCACCAGCGCTCCACCTACACCCTGACCTTCTCTCAGAGAGTTTAAGTAGGTTTAGAATGTTTTTGGTCCTGCCTAAGAATTCCAAGTTGCCCAGTGCAAAAGCTTTGCCAGAAAATAGTAACTCTTCTGACCTGTTAACCTTAAATACTTTCAAGTGTTTTGTATCAAGATAGAATTGTTTTGAATAAAAGAGAATAATGAACTGTTCTTAATAAAATAAAACATTTAAGCTGTAATAATTTGCACAAAGCAGTTACAAAAATGTTTCAGGGAAGAGGTAAATTCTGAAGAAATTACTTTAAACACCTTCATTAATAACAGAGCAATTGTTTGTAAAAGTCTAGCGTAAAGGTAAATACAACCTACCTAACATACACTTTCACACAAATACACATACATTAGCTAACTGAGGCTCAATTTCTTCATCTGCAAAATGAGGAGAGTAATTTAGTTATCCCTAAAGGCCCTGGTCTTGGCAAACAGAATGACCTCAGGAAAGATAAAAGGTATTCTACCCTACAGTGGTAAAGCAGACACACAGTCAAGCAGGGAGGAAGATCCTGCAGACCTGAAGCGCGTTCCCCTACCCCTAAGAATCTTGGGCACCTGTGCCCTCTGACCATAGCCTGTCTCATCATAGTTGTTTGGCAAAGTGCATAAGTCCTTGGTAACTTTGGTTTACTTGCCTTATGCTCTCCCACATCTATTTCATAAGACTGCATGGGCAGGATGGTTGCATGTGCACATCTGTGGGATTAATACTGTAAGTACATATTGTATAACATCATCTCAGGACTCTACCTCAAGACTGGCTCCTTCAGACACTCTCCTAGACTTGTGTCCAGTGGCTGATAGTTGGTCTGTTCCTTCCTGATAAATGCACCATCATTATCTTTGATATGCATATTCCCTAACACTGACAGCAGTAACTAGGCTCAAGTTAACCCACAGAAACCCACTGTACTCTATGTCCTACTATTATTCCTTTATGGTAGGCCTTTATAAATGTGTCACAGAATCTATGGGGTTGTTAGATATTATACAGCAAGTATAAATGAATGCATCAATGACAAACCTGCAAACTGAAAGAAATTCAGTACAAGTTGTATTTTTAATTTTTTAAAAGATTTATTTATGTATACAGAACTGGAGTACAGGCCAGAGGTGCGGGGGCAGTGAAAGGATACACTGGAGGCATTGTGGGGAGTAGAACAGGCAGATGTACTGAAATACACTGCTGAGGGCAGTAGGTGAGACAGGAGAGGTCTGCCATACCATATGGGTCACTTCCCTGGATAGAACTCACAGAGAAGCAACTGTTGATAGCTTTTTAAACTTTTAAATTAATCAGAAGTTATGACCTTAGGAGATGCAAGATTAAGAGCATCTTTTTCTTCAACATTTTTGATGCAGTTTAACCTCTTTAAAAATTCTTTTCATTATTCATACTTAAATATTCAATCATGCTTAACTTTCACCAGTACTCCCTTTACACAGACACTTCCCCAGTCTTTATGTGTAGTTTTTCTGCATTTTAAATTTTAAGTATGAAAGCTGAATTGCACTGTTTATATTTCTGTTCATTGAAATAATTGAACGATATAGTTCAGAGAAGTATAATTATCCACCTTGCTTAAAAGGAGAAAAAATATATAAAAATTGTTTTGAGACAAATTTGCCTGATCAAAAATTGTTTCCTAAAAATTCTTAAGAGAGACAATTGTTTATAAAACTGAGACCAAAAGTTTCTTCTTTCTAAAATAACAAGGTCATTAAAACAAAAGTAATTTTGGAAATTTGCCTGAATTCTTCCCACTGCTTTGTTAGTGATGATCAGACCAAAATGGCATCAAACATTTTGAGCAGTAAGGTTGATCTAGTAAACAATGGATAACCTCAGGTACTATTTTCTTCTTTGTTGGCAGTTTTAGTGTGGCAAGAGTTTTGTAAAGTTTTATAAATGTTTCAAAGTATTTTCATTTCACTTCTCAAGATCATATTAACAGTGATCATCTCTGGGTGGTTGAGATTCTATGGTTTTTGGGTGTTAAAATATACTATAGAACTTGAATAATGAAACCTTTTGAGATTGTTATAGGAATAGATTAATGAAATTGAATAGAAATTTCAGAAATAGACCTAAATAAGGGGCATATGTCAGTGGATAAGGGAATTTTAAATAAATGTATAGGACCTGGAATGCAAAATTAAATATATCTTATATAAAAATTAAATGCTTATATAAATTCTAAGTTATTCAAATATTTAAATGTAAAATAAGAATGCTCTAATGGGCTAAATTCTTGTCTTACCTTGGACTCAAAATCTAGTAGCCATAAATATTAATAAATCTAACTAGTTAAAAAAAATAGAAGTTCAAAAATAACATAAGCAAATTTGAAACATAAATTACAAACTGGGACAGAATGTCTGGTACTCCAATCACAGATAAAGAACTAAATTCCCTAATATATAAAAAGCTTCTAAGGGCCCTCCTTGGAGAAAACTATCCACAGCCACTGCAGCAGGAGTTCAATCCCAGGCCAGGGAAGGTCACCCACATGGCGCAGCAGACCTCTCCTGTCTCACCCATGGCTCCCATTGCAGTATATTTCAGTGGATCTGCCTGTTCTGCTCCCCACTCTGTCTCTGGTGGGTCCTCACCCCAGTTCTTGTATTCATAAAATAAATAAAATCTTTTTTTTTTAAAAAAAAGCTTCTGAAAATCAAAAAGAAAATATCAGTCACTCAAGAGTAAAATAGAGGATACTAGTAGACACGTCAAAGAAAAGATACATAAAAAATGATAGTTTACAAATTGTTCCATTCATAAAACATATACAAATTAAAATTAATCAATCTTAACCATAAACCAACTGTAATTCTTCTTTCACATTATTCTCTGACTTTGGAGCATTCATCTCTGATGATATTCTTTTCAATTGACTCTACCCATAAGCATTTTGAGAAAAAGTGGTAAGTTTATGAAGCTACATCTTTTTTTTTTCTTAATTCTAGATCCTATACCTCATTAACAAGGCTAAGTAGCCAAAAATGGCTAACATTAAAGAATCATTATTTTTTTAAGCAGATGGACTCTTCTGCCTTCATCTCATGTTTACTATTTTGAAACATAAAGAAGCCATACATAATATGATAAAAATTAGAACAAACATTGACCATGTCCTACTTCTATAAATAAATGTTTTTTTTCTAAAACACAAAGTTGTTTTCAAAGACTTAAATGTAAAATCTCAGTATAAACACCTCCTATCACCCTCATCCTCTGCCAAATATATTCTAGTACAAAAGAATCAAATCAAATCTTTGTTGTGATATAAATCAATTACTTTGATGCCTATGGACTACCCTAAAAACAACTAAAAAGAAAAAAAAAACAAGAAGATTTTCATGACTGTATTTTAACTACAGAAAATATTATCTCCCCATATGTACCAGTCTCCTAAAATCATAGACTATTTTCTATGCACTAACATTACTATAAGATCAGACCACCTCACACATTTAAATTATGTTCATTACTAACTTAAACTCCTTTTTCCGAGTCTCTATATAAGTTAGATGCCTCAAGAATGACAATTAGATTTATTTTTATATGGAAAGTATATATACTACATTGAGATCTCCCCATCTTGAGGCTTGCATTCCTGCATTTTGGTAAAAATAAAACATTTTACACTCCAGCAACTAAAAGTCTTGAAAAATTACTCATTGCCATTTTTTAAAGATTTATTTATTTATGCATTCAGAACTAGGGTACAGGCCAGAGGTGCAGACACTGAGAGGATTCACCCTCAGCAATGTATTTCAGTAGACCTGCTTGTTCTGCTCCTCATTCTGTCTCTGGTGAATTCTCTCACCCCTCGCACCTCTGGACTATACCCCAGAGTTCCTGTATGCATAAATAAATCTTTAAAAAAAATTTAAAGACAGAAATTGAGTGTGGATTTGCTAGACATAAGTGGCCTCTTCAGCCACCATTCTATGTTATCAGCAGATTCGCACCCCTATACAAGGTCAGAACTGCCGGTCAATCAGTCATAGCCAAAGCACATTTCAAATCAATCAAGAGCAGAAAATTGATCACCCTGGGAAGGACAGGCATCATGAGGTATGGCTGGGAACACCTAGGGGGCTGTTGATTGATGTATGACAGGGGACCCCAGAAGCTGATCAGTGGAACACCTTGATAAGATTGGAATGATGGTGGGGCTCTCAGATATGGTTTTGATGACAACACTTGGTTGTCCAGCAGATAAGAATTATCTGGTCAGCAGATACATGTCTCCTTGAAGCCCTAGATGACAAAAACACATTCTTTAGCTTCACCCATCTTTTTCTCCTTGTCCTCCTACCCCATGTAACTGATGCCGTATGATTATTCTATCAATAAAAAAACCAGGGTATTAGAAAGAT